CTGAGGGAGACAAAAAAAGAGTGTTTTTTTAGTATTCTGAGGGGAGTCAGTGAAGGGGAGAAAAGGTGTTTTAAATTGGGCGTTATTTTATTTATTTATTCATTTATTTATTTATTTTTAGGGGGAGCTGTGTTGAGTTTGAATTGTATATATAGATGTTTATAAGATCAAGAATGGGAGATAAACACATATCTGTTCTGTTGGGTGACAAAAAGAGTATTTTGATCTTAATTATTGTTTTCATTTTCATTATGATTTTTTTAAATCTATTCATTTTACTTTTGTTTTACATTTTAGGGGAAGAAGGAGAAAATAGAGTATTCTTAATAGATTACAAAATAAAAAATATTAACCTCGCAAAACAAACAAACAAAAATAAATTCACTCACTCAAAGTATTACTCAAACTAATAAATTATTTGGTTCAACAACATCAACAAAATGTTCATTAGACTTAATCGTGAAAGAAAAATAAATACAATAAAAATCTAGTCAATCACTTTAATTAATCCAATACTATTAATGAGATTAATCACATACTAAGCATTAATATTGCTTACATATTTCACGTAAATTAATCCCAAATAGATAGAAACTGGTTTCACGAATTATCATTTATCTGCGATTTATCTGGCAGTGGAATAACTCAGTTCAAAATGTTATCGTTTTGCTGGTAAAGAGACATCGAAATATTGTGTTTCTTTTTATTCTTCCTCTTCTCTTTCTCTCTTTCTCAGCTGACTTTTTTTTTATTTACTTCTCCGTTTCTGACTCCCCTCTCTCTCTCTCTCTCCCTCTCTCTCTCTCTCTCTCTCTCTCTCTCTCTCTCTCTCTCTCTCTCTCTCTCTCTCTCCTCTCTCTCTCTCTCTCTCTCTCTCTCTCTCCTTCTTCCTTCTTCCTTCTTCTTCTTCTTCTTTTTCCTTCTTTCTCTCTCGCTCACTCTTTCCTTTCCCACTCTCCCTTCCGGTTATTTCATCTCCACAAAACGGAAGTGAAGCAACTGACCTTGAATGACCTCCCCCCCCATCTCGCTCTGAATGACCTCCCCCCACCCCCCCACCCCCACTTCCCTCTGGCCGTGATGGATGAGGTTCTCTATGACATGCTGGCGTTTTTGGATCCATTTGTCATTGTGATTTCAATGTTCTATATTATCCTGATGAAGAATGTGTGTGTGTGTGTGTGTGTGTGTGTGTGTGTGTGTGTGTGTGTGTGTGTGTGTGTGTGTGTGTGTGTGTGTGTGTGTGTGTGTGTGGTTATCATTATCACCACCATTATTATTATATTTCTATCATTATTTCCATTATTATTATCACCATTATCATTATTATCAGCAGTATCATTATTATGGTTGTTATCCTTATTATCCTTATTACTATTATTATAAGTAGTATTTGTATTTTTATTATCATCCTTATCCTTTTTATTACTTTCATTATCATAAATATTATAATCATCATTATCACTATTATTCGTATTAATATTATCATCATTATCCTAATTTCTATAAACATCAACATCATCTTCATCATTATTAATATTATTATTATTATTATCATTATTATTATTATTATTATTATTATTATCATTATTATTATTATTATTATCAGCAACAGTTCTACTATTATCATTATCATTGTTGTCATCATCATTATTATTGTTATCATCATTATTATTATCATCATTATTATTGTTATCATCATTATTATTGTTATCATCATTATTATTGTTATCATCATTATTATTGTTATCATCATTATTATTGTTATCATCATTATTATTGTTATCATCATTATTATTGTTATTATCATCATTATTGTTATCATTATTATTGTTATCATCACCATCACTAGTGACAGCAGCAGCTTTACCAACAAAATCTTTATCATCATTTTTATCATTACTGATATAATTATTCTTCTTTTCATATCATTTTCATGTCATTTTAGACTCTTCCCCATCATTATCATGCATTGTGTTATTATTCTATTAAAAGCATTTTTATATTCTCTTTTGTCCGATTTTTATGTTCTCTCTCTCGCTCTCTTCTCACATTCTCCACCCGCGACTCCATTTCCCCTGGCGCTCTCAGTCGTTGTTTATGACAACAAGAGGCGGCGGGGGAAATGAAGTTAGCGAGATCTAGACTCCTTTGAAAGTCATATTTCCTTAACATATTTTGCATCTCAATCTTCGCTTCTCCTCTCTTTATATTTTTATATCTATCTATCTATTCATCAGTATATCTATTTATTTCTCTCTCTCTTTCTCTCTCTCTCTCTCTCTCTCTCTCTCTCTCTCTCTCTCCTCTCTCTCTCTCTCTCTCTCTCTCTCTCTCTCTCTCTCTCTCCGTATATATATATAAATATATATATATATATATATATATATATATATATATATATATATATATATATATATATATATATATATATATGTATATATATTATACGTATATGTATATGTATATGTATGTATATATATATATATATATATATATA